AGGCTCTTAGTCCTTCTGGCTAAGAGAGTCTGAAAGCCCCCCCTGATGTAACTGAATGTAACATAATGCGATGTAGCCTAATGTGAAGAGGCAGCTGGGAGCAGGTGGGGCAAGGTCAGGAGGGGGTGGCAAGGACTCAGCCAAACCGAAATATACCACAAACATGCCACCAAAGTGGGGGGAGGCCATTGGCATGTGGTATGTTCCCTGGATTAGGGGGCAATCACCAGAGTGAGAGCCGGGCCATCAACTCGGACCTCTCCAGCACATGGGGGCGGCATGGGGACCACAAGAACATCATGGGGGGCAACCAAGCCAGGCCTCAGATTAGGGGTTAGGGCAGGTCTTCCTGCAGCCTGTTTTGTAGGTTGGTACACTCCCCCACACCAGAATCAGAACCGTAAAGAAAGGTCCAGACTGTCCCAATACGCCCCCACCACGCCCCCACAGGCACCAAGCCAATTCTTTCTATGACACGCTACTAAAGCATCTCCCATGAGACTGGGGTGGAGCTGTAGAAATGCACCCCCCCACCCCACCCCGCCCACACACCCTGGGAAGTGGGGGCGTCAAGAAATCCTGAGATAGCTGTGGATTTGCTGGGGGATCTAAGTGGAGAGACACTTAGATTGAATTTAAGGCCCAGAGAGAGACAGAGAGAATGCATTAGGCTCAGACATGCATTAGGTGGGCAGGTCAGGAGACGGATGCTTGGGGGTGGGTGGCTGGGGGGGGGGGGGTTAACCCCTTAATATCCATCATCCAGTGTTGCTGATCAGAGGCCTCCTTCAAACCGGATCTCACATTCAGACTCATCAAATTCATATGACACCCAATTGCTGCAATTAAGCGACTCAGCAGCCATCACTTAATTAAAATGACACCCTGTGCATCCTGACTCATTAAGCCTTTTAATCCAGGAAGCCTGCATGAGACTTTAGATTAGATTTTATGACAGGTTTTAGATTAGGTTTAGATTTAGATTAGATTAGATAGGCTTTATTGATCCCAGGGGGACACTCTTGAAATTTTGTGACAGTGAGAACAGTGGCACTCCGAAAGCTGGTCACCCCTCATCACTCCTTGCACTGCAGTTACTATGTCATTCCACAGAGGCTGTGTGTTGGTTGCGGTTGTAGTCCAATGTCCGTAGCACCAGTGACGGGGGGGGGGGCGTGTCTCTCTGGGGTGTCTCACTGGGATCTGCAATCGAGCCACAATCCTAATGGTTACAGTCCTTTCAACATTCCTGCCCCACAGCGTGACGCCGGTTGAATGGGACTGCCGAGGACTGTCCTATGTCACATGACCTCGTCATGCTCTCTCTGCTTCCGGGAGTTATACCTCATCATGTGACTGCAGAACCAAAGGCTTAATGTCCCACTCACTAAATTACTACTAAAATACTCACTAAAATACTGTACACACGTACAGTAAAGGGCACAGGTGAACTAACAAAGTCAGTTAAGTGAAATTCAGGTCCTTTTTATTGAAATGGTAGTTTCTAGCTCAAAATGTCCTCCCTGACATGGATTATCTGGTCAGCCTACCTGTGTCTCAGGCAGGATGGTGCCCTCCACCCCCCCACCCCCCCATGACTCTATCCTAAATAAGCATTTAGAGTTTTAGACGATGGATGTAGGTGTTTAAGTGGCCAGATGGACACTGGGCCGCACAGATTGAGCTGAAGTGGTGACCTTGGCGCCGAGTGTGTCCTGAAAGCCTGGATCCTGCAGAATCAGCGCCGTCTGACAGGTGTGCTGGCCTTCCCTTGTCCTAGGAGGAGGTCATAGTGCCTTTCCAGGGGTGGTTTGATTTTTGGTATGATGTGAAGGTGGTAGTGGTTGGCGGGGGGGTAGGGGGGGGGGTCGTTTTGTTTGTCATTTGCAGCGTTAATCCCCACGCTTTTCATGTGCTCATGGTCAGGAACCATTCTCTCTGTCATTAATTTTTAGCAGGAACTCGATACAAAAAGATCATTAAAGTTTTAAAATCTGAAACACGGTTAACTGATGGAATACAAACACGAAGAAGACATAAATGAAAAATGGTCAGTGAGCAGGAAGGGAGCTGGTCATTCCTTTGGCAGGTAATTGGGATTATCACACATACTGTGTGCGTGTGATAATGTTCCCATAATGTAATAAATCCTGTTATTTTGATGTTATGGGGGACAATTTTTTTCAGGTCTGTTTGCGTGCATATGTGTGTGTGTGTGTGTGTGTGCGTCTGCATCTCATGTAGGGTGCTCTGTGTACGCTTTGCATTCTGGGATAGCCTCTTTGCTAACTGTTATCCTGTCCTGAACCTTGTAGTTGGTGATGGGAAATGAATGAATAAATTGAATTAATTTCAGGCAGTATAGAACAATACAAGGAAGGGGAGCGATCACACACACATACAGACACACACACACACACACATACACATATACACACACACACGTTTAAGAAGAGAACATCCCTGTGTTACGGCTGACATTTACAGGCCCCTGAGCTCAAACGGAGTTTGAGTTTGGAGTTTCTCTCCAGGGATTCTTGCTCTTTAATTCATTAACGTATTGTTCCTGGATCATCACTGAGACGGCTCCCTAAAATAAGCCTGAACCATCTGCTCCCAAACTTAAACGCTTCCTTTGTGACATTTTGCATTTTGGTTTTCTGTTTGCTCATTGATTAAATCCACTTCTGCCAATTAAATGGGGAGGTGCGGCTTCGGTGTGTGACTCTGTGGGTTAGGAGGGGGGGCCTGCGGTCGGAAGGTCAGTGTGATGCCACCACCGGGTCCCTGAGCAGGGCCCTTAATCCCCAGCTGTTCCAGGGACCCTCTGACCCTGCTTTGGATAACAGTGTCTACTAAATAAACAAAGAATGTAGGGGCAGCTGTAGGACTTCCTGTATAAACACAGAAGGGTGTGTTTCCCAAAAGCTCCTGTTCGTAACTGGCGTAGTTGGAATCATTCAGTTGCAGTATTCAGTGGCAACTATGTTTTTGGGAAACGCACTGCAGGACGGGAACAGCAGCCAAAGAGCCGCACAAACAGGCCACTCTCTGTGTAAATGGAGGGTGTTTAACCATCAGTGTCATGGCTATAAGCTGTCTCTCAGTAATCAGTACTCCTGTGACTGAGTCTTTGTGCACCAGTGTTTACGGCTGTGGCATAAACAGCGATGGAATGCCATCGCTGTATCTTACAATTACACAAATTGTGTTACTAGAAGTTAAAGTAATAAAACTAAATAACTATCCTCTCTTGTTGTACTCTGCTGTCCTTTCAGTCCAGACTGTGAATTGCCAGCCCTGCTATGTGTGTGTTTGTGTGTGTGTGTGTGTGTGTGTGTGTGTGGTGTGTATCTGGCATTGGTTCCAGCACCCCCGCCCCCCATGACCCAGTACTGGATTATCAGTTGAACATAGGATGGATAGGATAGTAATTTGTTTTTATTTGACTTTTATAATGTAGAGGTGTTGGCAGACAAACCTTCCAAAGCTTTCCTGTGAAAGCACATGTGACTCAGGATGGGGGAGGGGGGCAGCCCCCACCCTCGGTGACCTTTTGGTACACTCTCTCCCTGGCTTTAACTGGTCCAGTTAGTAGTTAATGGTCTGTGGTGTTTATACATATGCACCACTTTGAGATATTATCCCCATAAATAGGAGTCATTGTAAAGTTAGAAACTGTGAACCAAAACTGACCGGTTGACAGAACTAATGAAGGAATGGCGTCAGAGAAAAGGCGCACACATGCAGCCTATCCCTGTTCGAGGGAGCAACAGCCTGCACACACGGCCAATCAGGAGCCCCGTTTAAAGGAGCAAAGGCCCACACACACAGCCAATCAGGTGCCTGTTTGAGGGAGTAAAGGCCTGCACACACGGCCAATCAGGTGCCCCGTTTGAGGGAGCAAAGCCCCATACAAATGGCCAATCAGGTGNCAGGTGCCTGTTTGAGGGAGTAAAGGCCTGCACACACGGCCAATCAGGTGCCCCGTTTGAGGGAGCAAAGCCCCATACAAATGGCCAATCAGGTGTCTATTTGAGGGAGCAAAGGCCTGCACACACGGCCAGTCAGGTGCCCGTTTTACTGAGCAAAGGCCCACACACCCAGCCAATCAGGTGCCCCATTTGAGGAAGCAAAGGCCTGCACACATGGCCAATCAGGCCAATGTTAAAACGTAAGTGTGGAACTTATGCAGGATATCAGCATAGTATAGTCTAGGACTTACGGAGGATGTTAGCATAGCAGCAGGCTAAAACACAGCGTGGAACTTATGGGGGATGTTAGGATAGCAGCAGGCTAAAACACAGCATAGTACTTATGAGGATGTTATCATAGCGGCAGACTAATGCTGCCTTCAAGTCCTACTCGGAAGATCCGACTAGAGTGTTGGAAAATCGTAAGTACAATATGATACACGTTCGAGTGGTTAAGTCAGAGCAAAATGGAGGACATAAGAAAGCAACTTTTTGTTTTGCTGTAATTTTCGTTCCCCCAAGGCCAAGACGCATTTGTAGCGTTAACTGAACTTTTCGCAAACAGCAGGTAGCTGAAATTGTCGGTACCTTTACATGCGCGCTAATCGAATTATTGTGTTAGTCCGACTCAAACAGACTTTTAAAGTGTCTGTAAACATGTTAATCTGACTGAAATCATGCTGAATCAAATTCGGACTAAGGCACCCAGATAATGCGATTGGGAGTCGATTTACTCCTGCATGTATACATTCAATGGGACTCGAGCTGGCATAGGCGCTCTGCGCATCGCATGCTGCACAGCTTCCCCCTGGGCTTGGCCCCAGAAGTAACAGAAGAAGCCTGGACCATAGCAGAGGCTGCATTCCAGCGCATTCCATACGGCGGTGTCGTCCGCCTTCGGATAACACCGTAGCCACAAGGAGTAGTGTGCATCTCGTTTGTAAAAAAAGAACATATGTACAGTGTACAGCGCTGTAAAGCTGTCCGAATCACTGCTCAGCTGAAGGGCGCTTGTCCACTGGACCAGGTACTGAACTTTCTGTACTTCAAGGTGTTGGTTTTCCACTGGCGTAAAAACTGGTACCAGCACCAAATGACCTCACAGCGCGAGGCTGGGCATTTTGTACTGAATTTGAACAATGGCTGTAGTATATTATAGGGCTGGATGATGTGCAATATTAATACCAACATCACAAGTTATGCACATGCAATTCTTACATTGTTACAGGGACATTAAGTCTCACTAAAACACTTTTACTCTTATAGGAAAAAGAACTTTAGCAAGTCTTAATGATTATTCATTTTCAAGATTATCTAGTATATATTTTTAAATCAGTCTAAAGTTTTACCTCCGCTGCTTTTGCATGAGCTCTGCATGCATTCTCCGAGACAATCGTAATCATTTTCATCCTTGCTGTTTAAATCACTCCTAGACAAGTTTGTGAGAATTTTTTTTTCACGGTACACCATTCACTTCAATCAGCTCAGCATTCGAAACAATTCAGTTTCACAACGGCACGTTACATAAAATGTACTGCTTTCAAAATAATTTGCCTTTCACAGTGGAGCTGTCCATGGCCTCCACCGTGATTGTTGTAATGACACGCCCCCAACTCGGGAACTCGGGGCTTAAAGAAAATCCCGAGTTTCTCACTTGCAAAAACGACTTTGTAGTGGCATTTGTGTGCTCTCGTCTCGTATTTACGATTTTCCGTCATGACTTGAAGGCAGGGTGAAACACAGTATGGTACGTATGTGGGATGGTAGCATAGTGGCAGGCTAAAACACAGCATAGTACTTATGAAGGATGTTAGCATAGCAGCAGGCTAAATCATATATTAGGCCTTGCTGAATTAGGCTGAATTCTCTTGGTCGGTACATCACCATCTTCTCCCTGGGGGGACCACAGTCATTCCATTCAGGGGTCCGTTTACTGCCTCCAACACACTCCCTTTCCACTTAGGACATGATGGAAGGGTCACTAGCAGTCAGTGTTTCGCAAACCGGTCCTCGGTGACCCCCAGTCGGTCCACGATTTTGCTCCCTTCCAACTCTCAGGGAATTAAGAGAGAACTAAAAACATGGAGCGTCTGTGGGCCCCGAGTACTGGGGTGAGAAACACTGCACTAGCTGGATCAGGTAACCTAGTGATGGTTTAGAATAAATGAGTATGGGTTTAAAACGACTGTGAATTGTTAGAGCTGCCGTTTCCTCGTGTTCCTGTCTCTGGTAACTGGTCTTTCAGGGATTTCAGTTCCCTTATTGATAAGTTGGTGACTGACAAGGTTATGTCTGAATGGTGATTGGCTGGCCTCATCTCCAGAGTGTAACTGTACTTTCCCAATATTTGTGCAGTAGATTTGCTCCAAATCGAAACACTGTGTTTTTTCTCAGTCTCTCTATCTCTCCCACTCAGTGGAATTTCCTTCTGAATGAAGGGCCATTGCCCCCCCCCCCCCCCCCCGCTGTCATCCTGGCATTTCGTAACCAATTCGCCGTGACAGCTTCAGAAAGCACTCTCTCTTTTTGTTGCTTTTTAGATGATTTTTTTTCCATTCCATTCAATGTCTGATGTTTCCTTTTGTGTCAAGATTCCTTAGGAGCCTCCGACAACTGAAAGGCATTTTTGTTGCCGATCTGAGTGGGGCCACAACGCGCCGTCCATTCTCACCAGTGGCTGGGTCACATGGGCTTGCTGCTATCGGCCTCCTGATTGGCTGATACTGGTGACTGACTAAATCTTTGCAAAATCCAGATGAAGCTTTGTTCCCTCCCCTAGCCTGGGGTTTGGTGGGGGGGGGGTGAAAAACTCATTAGAATTCTAATGCAGATTCTTTCCTTTTGTGGACCCTGTCCAACCCCTAAACTTAAAACAGCTAACTCCTAGGGGGGGGGGTACTTTAGCCATCAGGGGTTATGCATTCCTGAGCCCCCACACCGAGATGGCAAATGGAGAGAGACGGACTCTTTGCACGTTTCATTTGGTGTCTGGAGGTGCAGTGGGCTGCCTATGAGGGGCGCTATAACCACAGCCACACACATGCTGCACCAGCCCATCTGGCTGGCTGCTCTGCAGCTTGACTCCTTCATAACAGCACTTAACACTGAAGGACGAGAGAGAGATCCGAGACCATCGGCCATCATCCTCACACGATCGGTCAACCGGGCGTCTTCTGAGTCACGCACACACACACACACACACACACACACACACACACATGTGCACACAATGCCCCGCTCTGCAGCACACATTAAGCAGGAGGTCCACACACCCAAAGTGCCCTGGGGGCGTTAAGGGGTGCAGCTAGCCCAGCATGAGACCAGGTGACCTGACACTGTGGGTATGCGTGTTGCAGGGGGCCATGACAGGCTGTGGGGGTTATAGAACGTTCTAGAACAGGGAGGGCAAATCCATTCTCATGACTGCCTGATATTCCTGGAAGTGGTACACATGGCTGCCCTTAATCCGTTACAGCTCACCCCCCCCCCCCCCCCAAACACACAGCTGTGGGTGGTCTTTCGGCAGCCTGGACATGTGCCCCCCTAATCACCGCAGAGGCTCAGCATGGGGTCCCATCCCCTGATTAAGTGGAATGGCTCATTATACACCCGGCAATGCCCCCCCCCCCATCCACACATTGCAAACCCATGGGGACCGATGGGGACCGACGCCTGTCAGACTACCTGACTGAACTTTGAGGTAGACAGACGAAGGCCTGCTCAGCAGCTTTACACGGTTTGCTGGCTAATCTGTGTCCTCCTGCTTTTACTCACATTGTACATTTGGGCTCGGGGGGGTGTCAGGGTTTAACATCTTGGCTGGGAATAACATCGGATCATCAGAGGACGACCAGCGATCTCTCCATCCAGAGAACTCTGTAACCTCCCCTTCAAACTCGCTTACATCCACTTCCTGTTTCATCTGGTATCTTATCAGGCAGGCATGAGGAGATTCACCAGATCTTCTTTGACAGTCTATTGCTGGTTGTAATATTATGGGATGTTAATTAAAAAGCATTTCTTTTCCTTTTTTCTCCGTAGCACCGCAGTAGGTGTGGGTTTCTATGGAAACAGCGAGACTAATGATGGCGTGTATCAGCTGACCTACTCGCTGTACAACGTCAACCACACGCTGAGCGGCGTGGATAACCTGGTAAGTGACCACTGCCTTTGTGGCCCTCGGGTCTCCTGCTGGCCCTCGTACGGGTGACGCTGGTCAGGAATGCACACCCACAGGGCAGGTGACAAAAACCCACTCTCAGAAAATCCTCGGTGCTGGGGTGTTGCATTGCTGCCGACTCCGACCCCTGGGAGGTGACATCCTGTTCTGATTTCAGGCTAAACAGGTCACGTCATTCTTGAGAAGAAGACAGTGTTTTGGGTGTAGTTTAATGGGTGTAGGGGTTGTACATGACACCCCCTGCCTTAAATGCGACCCTTGACCTCACCTAGGCCTGAAGCATGTCATCTTACGAATGCACAGTACCGTAACAGCCATGTTCCCCTAGACACTGCATCTCCCAGAATGCCTCAGGGCAGCTACTACTATCATCGAACCTGGACCCCTGCGCACGTGTTTGGGAAGTGGATCATTTGGATGTGAAAAACCCAACAAAACAGGCTTTTCTCGGGAGTCACATGACAAGCCGGCCAGTGACTAATCGCTTTCTCTGGGTGCTGGTCTGAGGCGCCCTGCTTAGTTGGTTGGCATGGCAACTTAATTGGGGTCACAGGGGAGGCGGAGTCAAGCTCAGCCAAATCCACAACCATTAAACAATTCAAAATTTTACATAAATTATTCAGTTTTATTATGTTTTTATTGATTACTCGTTTGTGGCCTTGGTTCACTCAAATCATAGAGTCCAGCGTCTGCTTCCATGGAATAATCTGTCTGTTTTTAATTCCCACTTTAAGCTCCCAGGATGGCTGAGGACATCGAGCTGATGAAACTGCACTATCAACCAGTTTTAGAATCTGACGATAGATGGTTCTCTTACGGTCACAGCCTGATTTACAGTCACAACCTGATTTACGGTCACAGTCTGACTTACGGTCACAGCCTGATTTACNTCACAGTCTGACTTACGGTCACAGCCTGATTTACGGTCACAATCTGACTTGCGGTCACAGCCTGCCTTGCGGTCACAGCCTGATTTACAGTCACAACCTGATTTACAGTCACAACCTGATTTGCAGTCACAGTCTGTCTTACAGTCACAGCCTGATTTACGGTCACAGCCTGACTTGCGGTCACAGCCTGATTTATGGTCACAGCCTGACTTACGGTCACAGCCTGATTTACGGTCACAATCTGTCTTACGGTCACAGCCTGACTTGCAGTCACAGCCTGACTTACGGTCACAGCCTGATTTACGGTCACAATCTGACTCACGGTCATATGGCCTGACTCCCGGTCACAGCCTGAGAGGACAGCTCTTGAATTTACATTTACATTTAACACATTCAGCAAACGATTTTGTCCAAAGTGACATACAAGTGAGGTGAATCGCACATTACAAACATTCAGTTGTCAAGGATCCAACTAGACATAAGAGTCAGGTTTCATTGTCATACGTATAAGGTGCAGTACGGTGCAATGAAAATCTTGAATTCCGTCTCCGCATTCTACAGACAATTAACAGGACAGTGCAGTGTTACAATACAATAAATATTAAGAGCAACATACTAATTACTATGAGTTATCTAACAGTGTATAACATCTGACAACGTAGTACAACATTCAATATGAGGCAGTAAAGTGATATGTGGCACAGCAAAGTAGCACCATCAAGTCATGCAGAGGATAGAATATAGAGAATCCTGGAGCAGTGTTACAGAATTAGCAATAAATAATTAAACATAAGTGACGGGGCAAAGTGATGAGCCTGGGGCAGATCAGTACAAAAGAGAATCACTAGCAGCGCTTAGCATTAATACTGCACCTCGGTGTGTGTCAGACGGTCTTAGAGCACTGGGGCAGTTCAGTACAAAAGAGAGTCACTAACAGCGCTTAGTATTAATACTGCACCTCGCTGTGTGTCAGACGGTCTTAGAGCACTGGGGCAGATCAGTACAAAAGAGAATCACTAGCAGCGCTTAGCATTAATACTGCACCTCGGTGTGTGTCAGACGGTCTTAGAGCACTGGGGCAGTTCAGTACAAAAGAGAGTCACTAACAGCGCTTAGTATTAATACTGCACCTCGCTGTGTGACAGACGGTCTTAGAGCACTGGGGCAGATCAATACAAAAGAGAGTCACTAACAGCGCTTAGTATTAATACTGCACCTCGCTGTGTGTC